TGGTTGTGTTTTTTCCTATGTTTATTTCCTTTAGTGGTGTCGCATGTCGTGGTTTTAATTTTGCCCATGAGCTTTTGTGTACAACACGTGTTAGACAACCGAAGGGTTTACGTCGAAACAAATCAATATTACTCATTTTACCGACCCAGGGTAAAAAACATATATTACATAGGTTGTCCAGGAGAAGTGACAGTCTAATACACCTCCATGGGCTTCCATGCATGGCAACTGTGTTCAAAATCTGATCGTTTGTGTTAACATGGCGTGGTGTGAACATCTCGCAGGAAATTCATGAAGTACACTGTAGAAATCAGCAATTTGCCTTTATTTTCTTCAGGAGACGTCTGAAAAAAACAAAGTCTATCGAATTATTGGGGAAAACAGTCTCTTTCCTAATAAGTGCATTTTGTTCGAAATCACTTTGTTCCTGGTGATGGCTTGAATCAAGAGAGAATGATAGTTCGATGCACACGTAAAAGGTTTATAGTTTTTTTTGTTCAGAGTCATTTTACTTAATTAGCCCGTGAAATAGATAGTAGACTACTACGCAGTTTACACTCTAGTTTCATTGTTTTCCATTTTATTATTAAATCTTGTAACAATTTGGCACTTATTCCTTTTTATGTGTGCGTTCGATTGGGAAATCTGGATTTAGACTTTGAAAAACAGTTTTCGGAATTTGCAATTAAACGCGAAGTCCAAGAACCGTTTTCACCTCCCAGGATCGGTTTTGAAGGTGGATTGCAATTATGAAATCCAAATCCGAATTTCATGGATTTCCTTCTTTACCGTTCGATTGGGAATTCCGAAAAGGATTTGCAAAACTGTTCTCGTGAACAGTGGTCTTTTTTCCGCTAAATATGCGTGCGCGTGCAAGAACGCTGTGAAAATGAGGACTCCTTTAATATACGGTTTTCATATAGTTATTATTTTATTTTCTAGTGGATAACGAAAACCCATGGGTCTCTTCTCACAACGCTTTCACTGCTCCTACTTTGCCTAGTACCCAGCCCTAAGCTCCATCGCACATAGCCTATTCGGGACACAGGGTCCGAGCGAGTTTGCCCTTCGGCTACCTCACCCAAATGCATTGACCGAGGCAGACAAGGCCTGCGAAGACGCCGTAGCTGGATCTCGGACTAGGCAAGATTGGACTTTTCTCAGATCTAAAAGAAACATCAGTCATTACCTCTAGTGTCTATATCGGCCACTATCATTGATCTCAAAACCGAGCGCACTGGTAACCAAGTGTACTTGTCTGTCAAGTTCTGACCAGTGAAAAGACCTGGTTGTATCTTGAACACGCAACGAGAAACAGCAGAAACTGTTGTGTGGTAATTTGTTTGCATGGGTTTAAAATGATTTCCTTTCATCTCAACTGATCAAGAAACAATGTGGCGCTAAAAAATGCATTCTGCGGTGCCTCGTAATTACCGTATTACCTACCGCATCTTAAGATTAGAAGCGATGGAACACACCGTAACATTCCACTTACCCATTTTATTTTCTATCAAAGATACCTAAGTAAACTTCGTACCTTTACCTTAGAGCTATATAGTTCTAGAATCAACTTGATCCAATAACTACTAGTGGATATCGCCATTAATTACAAAACCCAATTTTATAATGGAAAAATACTGTTCTAAGTTTAAATCTAGCCAGATTTTTGATAACGTTATCGCCAAATGGACCTTTTGCGTCGAACAGTTTTTTTTTCCTCTAAAGTAGCTACTACAAAAACTGACAATGCAATCTTACCATTGCTTTTTTTTCTTCTCTTCCTTTCCTTCTCCTCGCTCTTTCTTTTTCTCCTCTCCTTTTCCTTCGTTACTATGATTTTGAAGCTTCTCGGGTTTAAGAAACCTGCCTTTTGACGCCTTTTCACTCAAATGACAGCAAAATTACGCAAAGTGGGTTTTCAAAAAATCGGCTAGAAATATATTATTGTTATTGATATTGTACTAACTATTCTTAAAATATATACTGTCGTGTAAAGAGAGGCTATAATTACAATGATGAAAATTGTAAAATACACAAGCAATAACATATCGTGTGCAGTGACCATTTAACGCCTATTGCAAGTTGAATAAATTTTCATTGCTTACAATATTCTCTAACAAAATGAAAATAAAAGAAAAAAAGAAGCGATTGCACGATGGCTGGTTTTTATAACCAATTCTATCCAAGTTATTTTCTTCTTTTCACAATTGCTTATTCACCAGCGTTAATACGTCAGCACTTTAATTTACCTTTTGCAGTACTACATGAACTCATTTACTTATTTACTAAGTTTTGAATTGTAGGCGCACCGCATACATGAGGGTGGGGCATATTATTTACCACTTCTTGTTCATAAAACAACAAAGTACTCTACAACTTGCTTATCTATCTCTTAGTTTTCTTCAAAATTTAATGACGAAACCAAAGCAGGAAAGTATAGTAGTGAAAGCTGGTTTTTAATGGCGAAATACTGTATCGCCAAAATTGCGTAGTTAAGTACCCGCGAAATTAAGTTCTAATAATTAGGTAATTTTTTTGTGTTGGTTTGCTTATTTTTATTTTTTTTGGACGGAGGGTTGTTGCTGTCTTCTTCTTAATATGAAATTTTACGGCACGAAATTTGCGATCTGAATTTGATTTTTGGTGTTCTTGGGAGTTGGTAATTACATCGTAATAAGCTAAAACTAACTGCAGAAAAAGGGACAATTAAGTGCGTATCAAAGAGCTCCCAAGGAGGGTGGAGCAGGGCCTTTTGGCGGCATGGGAGCGAGGCCACGTTTGCTGAAGTATTCTTGCACTTGTTTGGGTATTTCAGCCAAGACGTGTTTGGCAAGCAGCGCTGGGGATTTCTACGGAAAAGAAAGTATTACAAAATTACAGTCAATTACTGTTTGACGTAGCAGTGAGAAGTGTTCTTGTAATTTATCAAACACGACACGTGGAGTTTTAATCCTGATCATGGTACAAAGAAGCGATATCGAAGCCACTGTCACGGTAGTGACTTCCTTTGTTTTTTCTTCATATATGAAAAACGAGTTTGAGAAATTTTAAGCATTTGTAATCTATGATGTAGTTCTCCAGTTCCTTGTAATTACCCTGTTGTGGAAGAAATTGCCCCCTTGTGAATCCCGACTTTAACAGTATATAAGTATGTTTAAAACTGGACTCACGTTTTTGAATTCCCGATAAGGTACAAACTGCACGATGTCTCGATCAGCATAATGATGGCCGCAACGTAACCTGAATAAAAAGTGAACAAACCCACATTTACACAATAGTAGTTTCGCAAAGTATTACCTTCCTGGCGACCAACTGAAAAGTCTTAGAACTGTCAGCTAGGTAAGTATATTTACGGCACGTATGCAAATTTAAAGTGCAAGACCAGGACCGTTTAACGTCTTTACCGTAGTTACTGAAAGATTCCGTAAGACCGTATTGCATCAAGCAACGGCCAATACTCCTTGGTGCACGAATGTTCGTCTTAAGATACACCATGGTTTCATTTCTACTAAGATTTTTCAACACTAAGAACAACAAATTAAGAATGAAGGAGGAACGTAACGGCCTCAAACTAATCCCAGAGGCCCCAGGCCCCCTAGGTCGCTGGAACCCCTTGTGACCAGGCTCCCGCAGATGAGTCAGGCGGTGTTACAGTGATATGGGTATCCCCATTAACAAAACACTAGTGATATCGGCATCCCCTTCACGTACTAACTTGGCGATTTGGGTTAGGGTTACAGGGGATGCCCATATCACTAGAGTTTTGGGAACGGGGAAGCCCAAAACGCGGGGATGCCCATATCACTGTGACAACGGCTCAGGAAACGAGAATAGGATTCCCAGAAATGGGTTCCAAAGTGTTGTCAGCGAGACATTACAATAATTTTTAGAATGATTCAGTTTTTAGTATTCACCTTCCCTCGTCAGCATCCAATTCATTCATGTCTTTAAAATCCGCCTCGCCAACACCCACAATGATGACTGACATGGGAAGACGAGATGCTTTGATAATGGCAGCTTTAGTGTCCTCCATATCTGTTAACACGCCATCGGTCAACAGCAGCAGCACATAGTATTGCTATAAGAAAACCAGACATAAAGCTGTTATATAATTATTACATATAGTGCGAAAGTTTCTTCTTTCTGTTTATTGGGCAGGGTCACAAGAGCAATCGATCAATAGAATACGCCACTTAAAAAAGAATTCATTGCGCTGCTTCAAACTTTATCGCGCTTATTCCATTCCGTTCAATTCATCACATGTTGGCAATTATTTCTGGAGCTGATTATTAAAGACTATCGAAGTTCAGGAACAGAAAATGAAAGTCGTTCTCTTGCGTTCACGTCCTCCACAAAACGTGAAATTAGGCATTGTCACGTCCTTGTCGTGCAGTCATGGCAAAGACATGCACAAAAAGGCGTGATGCACGTACATAGTTCTTGCTTTGCCAACGTAAACCTACTGGGTCGGTTATTTAAACGATACCTAACGTGGGGCCTGGTTACTTGGAGGTGGGGGACCCCAGGTGAGTGAGGTAACCCGCTTAGATGGGGTAACCCGCCTGTCCATATTTGCTCACGTTTACATGATAGGTGGGGTGACCCGCCACATGTTACCTCACCTACCAGGGGTCCCCCAGCTCCATGTAAACAGGCCTTAAGGCCGCGGGTTAGAAAGTCTTTGGACCTCCACATATCTTCCTTCGTGGGTAATTTTACGAAAATAAGTGTTTTTCTAGTCTACGCTTTATGCTTTCATGAAACTTTTCACGATGAATGGTGTTAAGATGAAAGCATTGGACGAACTGAAAATGTTAAAAACTGGCTAAATTCTGTTTAATAACTGGCCAATTGATTTTTTGCCATTCTCGTTGACGTCGCCGTCGTCGTTCCTTAAGCTCCCTGGTAACAGCCTTGGGACTTAATTTTATCTTGTCCAAAAAGCGAGATCAAATTATGGAACATTCAGTAGTTAATGAATTTGGAGAGAATTTCAGTCAAATCGAGATAAGCCATTCTCGGTGACAGTAGAAGAGCAATTTTGAGTAGCATGGTCTCACGTCACGCGTTATCAAGGAAAATCTTCCATAATTCTTCAATTTTCGTTAAAATATTACTGAATGGCTATAAAGGAGTAACAGCGACAAATCCTCATGTTTATGAAAAGGGATGATTTGTTATTTCATATATTTGTTTTAAATGTACGTTTTTCCGTCGCAGGATGCAAAAGAGTCAGCGTGTAATAGCAAGAGATTCATTTTTTGACAGACAAGATTAATAATTGATTTATTACATTTTGTTAGCTAATTACAAAATCCACTCTATTTGAGTGTCAATGTATTTAGCACGAAAGAACTAATTGGGGACACTATTTTTACATCCCTACTGTAGACGGGACCGCCATTTTACGCGGTCATCCGAGCCACGCTAAGGGCCAGCCGCAGTTGCAGTGCAAAGGAAGTACCTTCATTTCTCAGTTATTGTAAGACCCAGGTGAGTAATGGTTTGGCCCCGGGAATCGAACCGGTGACCTCCCTCTCTGCAGTCAAGCGCTCTACCGACTGAGCTAATCCTGCCGCGTACGCATTAGTTAAAAATTACTTGATCTGTTAATACAGGTTTCCTTGAACGCCACTTACCGATGCTGTGCTCTCCTTGGCCGCTTGCTCGGCAAATCGGATCACGTGATTTATGATAGGCGCCACATTGGTTGGGCCATAAAGGTGCACTTGACGAATACAATTTTGGTATGCTAATACAATCTCCGATATTCCTGCACAAGAAAAAACAAAAATGTGATACCTCAGGTGATCAACTGGTAGAAGATCTTAGAGAGCAGAGGAATTGTGCTTAAAGCTTATTAATGTTGTGGTTCAATTTTATCCTTGCTTTAAATTTTATTTTCCTTTGTTTTGGGGTATGGTAATGTATATACTGATGAGTTTGAAACAAAGGAAAATACAATTTAAAACAAGGATAAAATTAAACAACAACATGGAAAACATCCTACGTTGTGATCATTCAAATGGAACCGTTTTCCCGTTATTTCTAGTTTCTAATGGTGCTATTCGTTTTTCAGAATTTGGAAACTTTTTCGAATTTTGACTCTGGTCAGTTTTAGGAGCAAAATAAGTTGGGTTGTCTACATATAATAAAGTATTATGCTGGCACGTATTATAGATTACCATTGCAGTATGGATTAGCAAAGTTGAAGTTCAATGGAAACTCGTGGGAAACATTCATCCCTGGCGGTATTAGTGCACCAAATCCCAATGCTGGAAAGAACTTGTCACTAACACAGAAAGAAAAAGAACAGTGTTGGGCATACTACATCTATGTCACATAAATAATTATAAGTTGTTGTCCAAGCAAACTATCAAAACTTATAATTAATTATCATAATTATAATTTAATTCATGTTGAGCCACCACATGTGTAATGACCATTTACAGTCAGAACGAAGACAAAGGTAAGTGTCCATTCCGCGAAGAAATACATATGGATCAAGGTTGATAAATAAATGTCTCCATCTTCACTTAAAACCGCTAGCGTTTCCGTTTGATAGAGGGCATTGCCAGGTTGTACGGTGTAACTATTTCAAATAAAATAAAAGAAAATGTACGAGAAAATGGGGTGGTTGGTCTTACCATTAAGAATAGCGAGCTTAAGCAACGACGACAGCGACAGCAACGGGAACGGCAAAAAGGCAATAGGTTAGATTAGCAAAACAACAACTTTGCACGTTTTGTATATTTCTTAGCCGTCACTGCACGACTACATCGTGAAAGTGCCTAAATTCACGTTTTGTCGAGGACGGAAACACAAGACAACAACTCCCTTTTTCTTTTCCCGAACTTTGACAAAGTCTTTCAGCATTCAACCCCCTAAAAGTTTGCCCACAAATCAAACGAGATGGAATAAGCGCGATAAAGTTGAGGCAACACAAATTCACTTTTTAAGTGACGTTATCGTCGCCGTCGCCGTCGTTATTGCTTAAGCTCCATAATACATGTTCTACGGGACGCGAAAATGGTCAAAGAGCCTGTAAAGCTAACTAAGCTGCTCTCTAAGAAGAGCGATGGCAAACGTGAGTCTGAAGGCAACAAGGCACTTAGAATACCGCAGAAGCTAGTTTTCATTTTCCACTCGTCCATTTTACACTCGGCTTATCCCATTTCTCACCAAGTTTTCTTCCACGCCCGGATTAAAACAATAACAACAACAACAACAACAACAAAAACAACGAAATGAATCCTGGTCTTCGTAGTACAAAGGCGTACGTCCTATTGATTTAAAGTAGCAATAACCTCCTCGTGACACATTAGCCTTAAATCACGGCGCTAACGTACGTATCATAATCCTGACAGACTTCTCCTACAGCCACCAGTGCTTTGACGTATTCATTTGGTTCAGAAGGGTTGATATAATGTAACGATTGAGGATGACTTGGAATGGTTCAATTTTATCCTTGCTTTAAATTTTATTTTCCTTTGTTTTGGGGTATGGTAATGTATATACTGATGAGTTTGAAACAAAGGAAAATACAATTTAAAACAAGGATAAAATTAAACCACAACATGGAAAACATCCTACGTTGTGATAATTCAAATGGAACCGTTTTCCCGTTATTTCTAGTTTCAAATGGTGCTATTCGTTTTTCAGAATTTAGAAACTTTTTCGAATTTTGACTCTGGTCAGGTTTGGGAGCAAAATAAGTTGGGTTGTCTACATATAAAGTATTATGCTGGCACGTATTATAGATTACCATTGCAGTATGGATTAGCAAAGTTGAAGTTCAATGGAAACTCGTGGGAAACATTCATCCCTGGAGGTATTAGTGCACCAAATCCCAATGCTGGAAAGAACTTGTCACTAACACAGAAAGAAAAAGAACAGTGTTGGGCATACTACATCTATGTCACATAAATGATTATAAGTTGTTGTCCAAGCAAACTATTGAAACTTATCATTAATTATCATAATTATAATTTAATTCATGTTGAACCACCACATGTGTAGTGACGATTTACAGTCAGAACGTAGGCAAAGAAAAAGTCTCCATTCCGCAAAAGAAGTACATATGGATCAAGGTTGATAAATAAATGTCTCCAGCTTTCAATTAAAACCGCTAGAGTTTCCGAGAGATAGAAGTCATAACCAGGTTGTACGGTGTAAATATTTCAAATAAAATGAAAGAAAATGTACGAGAAAATGGGGAGGTTGGTCTTATCATCAAGAATAGCGAGCTTAAGCAACGACGACGGCGACAGCAACGGGAACGGCAAAAAGGCAATAGGTTAGATTAGCAAAACAACAACTTTGCACGTTTTGTATATTTCTTAGCCGTCACTGTACGACTACATCGTGAAAGTGCCTAAATTCACGTTTTGTCGAGGACGGAAACACAAGACAACAACTTCCTTTTTCTTTTCCCGAACTTTGACGAAGTCTTTCAGCATTCAACCCCCAAAAAGTTTGCCCACAAATTAAACGAGATGGAATAAGCGCGATAAAGTTGAGGCAACACAAATTCACTTTTTAAGTGACGTTTTCGAAGCCATCGCCGTCGTTATTACTTAAGCTCCATAATACATGTTCTACAGGACGCGAAATGTCAAAGAGCCTGTAAAGCTAACTAAGCTGCTCTCTAAGAAGAGCGATGGCAAACGTGAGTCTGAAGGCAACAAGGCACTTAGAATACCGCAGAAGCTAGTTTTCATTTTCCACTCGTCCATTTTACCCTCGGCTTATCCCATTTCTCACCAAGTTTTCTTCCCCGCCCGGATTAAAACAATAACAACAACAACAACAAAAAAAACAACGAAATGAATCCTGGTCTTCGTAGTACAAAGGCGTACGTCCTATCGATTTAAAGTAGCAATAACCTCCTCGTGACATATTAGCCTTAAATCACGGCGCTAACGTACGTATCATAATCCTGACAGACTTCTCCTACAGCCACCAGTGCTTTGACGTATTCATTTGGTTCAGAAGGGTTGATATAATGTAACGATTGAGGATGACTTGGATCTCCATTTGATGCCGTAAAGTCTATACCAACCTAAATCATAAAAAAAGAGTTTACTTAAAAACTATTTCAATGCAAGAGCCCCATTGTTTCAGTCAGTGGAGTAAAAAAGTGCAGATAATGCAAGGAAAGTACATGTTGTTTGTCCGCTTACGGACACTCACGTAAGCGGACACAACTCTACTTATGGCTGTCTTCACAAAACCCTGTTTTTTTCTCAACTCCCACAAGAAATCTGTATTTTTACATTCCCATTAGTGGCCAGCTCCATTTAGTGTAGCTCACTCAGTAGCAGATTTGGACTAGTAATCAGAAGTCCAAATGCCGTTCGCCTCTTATCGGCAGTACTCGAATATTTTCTTCCGAGTCGTCTGCGTCACTGAATGCAAAAACATCTTTCTCTTCACCCAAACGTTTACACAGAGCCAATTGTTTTTAGCCACGGTACTTAGAAGATAGGGAGCTTTAGCATCGACGACGGAAGGGGAAACGTCACTTTTAAAATGAATTCGCGAATTTTGTAACTTTGTCGCACTTATTCCAGTTCGCTGAAAATGTCAATTGTAGGTGAATTTCCTTGGGGTTGATTTCTTGGGGACCGCTTAGTTTAGAACTCAGAGAGTAGAGGCCTGTTTACATGGAGGTGGGCGACCCCAGGTAGGTCAGGTAACCCGCCTGTCCATATAATCTCTCACTTTAATTTAATCATGTTTACATGCTGGGTGGGGTGACCCGCCACATGTTACCTCACCTATCTGGCCCGGTCCCCCACCTCCATGTAAACAGGCCCTACGAAAAATACGTCGTTTCTTGTTTACGTCCTCCATAAAACGTGAAAGTGGTCATTTTCAAGTTGTAGTCGTGCAGTGACGGCAAAGAAATGTACAAAAAAGCGTTATGCACGAGCAAAGTTGTTGTTTTGCTTAACAAACCTATTGCTTTTTTGACGTCCTCGTTGCCGTCGCCGTCGTCTTTGCTAAAGCTCCCTTATGACTTCAATGAATTTTCGTTAAAAAGTTTTAAAAAAAAAATAAATGTACTTCAACGTTGAAAAGAGTGTTGTTTTTTTTTTAATGCAATCACTTTGCGTAAATTTGTCAAGTCTTCGCCGGGAGTTGTTGTTGCAGTGACAGTAGTTGAGTTCTTGTGACACATATTTTCCTATACTCGGGGGAGAAAGGGATGGCGCAGTAGTGAGAGCACTCGCCTCCCACCAATGTGGCTCGGGTTCAAATCCCGGCGTCGACGCCATAATGCGGGTTGAGTTTGTTGTTGGTTCTCTCTTTTGTTCCGAGAGGTTTTTCTCCGGGTACTCCGGTTTTTTTCTTTCTCCTCAAAAACCAACATTTCCAAATTCCAATTTGACCAGGATTCAGGTAGACGAAGAACCACTATGTGGATGTGCGACCTCCAAATCGTTATTTATTTATTTATTTATTTATGATAATCAAGGCGGTTGTGTGAATGAACTTTATGATCTGATTGCTTGGCAACCTCTCAAGGGACTGCAGTTAGTCGATTCAGTTTAGTTTGCCAATTACTTACCACGAAACATAAGCTAATTTTTAAAACTACTCGTACGTTGGTGGTTTCATGACAAACAAAGAGCTCCAAACGTTATACTGATTTTAAAGTTAAAAAGAACGCAGAACCATAATATTATTGTAGACTTTCAAAAACTGTTAGGCTGAACAGTTTGCAAAAACCTTAATTTCAATCCACTTTATTCCTCTTCAATTTTGCCCATCAGTGCCTCTTTATGTGATTGCTATATTGTTTCAATATTGCTTCTCTTTTTTCAGCGGTTATTTTATATTTCAATCAGATTGATTGCCACTTCCTAATGGCTAAATTTTCTGTCGTGGCTCCACTTAGGGAAGATATTTACCTCCCGTTTTGGGAAAGACATAAGTCATTCTGTAAGGCTGTTTTTTGTTTCCCAGCCATAAAATAGTCATAACATTGTAAAAATAAGAAGAATACATTCCTACCGTGAAGTTGATCTGACATCCACCCATAATGTAATCCAAGAATGTATGCACCTTGGTAATCTACAGAGTAACAACAAGGAGATTATTGACAAGTCAGCCTTTTGTAACCTGCAATTAGGTTATTAGGCGATTATTTCTTTTTTGGAGCAGCGCAAAGAAACGCCTTATCAAGCAAGGTTTGACACTTTTTTAAAATTTGTTTTCTGATGTTACTGGTAGCAAAGATTGCAAAATCGTCAATTAATGCACCTTGCATTTTCTTGAAGAGTTTGTACTTGCTCAAAAACTTTGTCGCAAAAACACATCTCAAAAAATCATTAAAAGGGCTAAAAATAACCTCCGATGCTTAGTTACGAAACTGATAGCCTGCGTAGCTAGCGGTTTGTTTCGCTTCTCACTTCCGGTTCCGGTTGTTGGCCCCAGTGTAAAGTAAAAAACGAGAAAAAACGTTTATCTTTTTCGGTTATTTTCTATATTAGCCTCTCTTGAATCTACGGTAAATTGGTCAAAATCCAAAAAGTTACTATTTAACAATTATTCCTCGAGCCCGGATGGGCCATCAACTCAGAGGCCATGAGGGCGAGAGGAATAATTGTTTTAGTAAAATCCAACTAGTTGGTAAAAAATATCGAGAAAAAAAAATTAAGCTAGTTACAGCTAGACTTTCATCCTTTTTTGCCGCCAAAAAGCCCGCGCTTTTTGCTACTAGGAGGCTATAACATATAGCCTAGTGGTACCTTAACCAATCAGAACGCAGCATTGATAACAGACCACTAGTTGGATTTTAATAAAAAGAAATGTCCCGTCGGCGATTCATGGTTCGGACTTGTTTTGACATACTTTGAAAACTCGCGATGACACATGCACGCGACGACACACGCGACAGGGACGCAAATAGTTCGCGCCAAAATGACATCACTTGATGCGATTTTTTGCGGGGAAACAAGTCGAACTCCCGCTCTCTCGCTCGCTTTTGCCGCAGGAAAAAATGAAAAATCTACCGCGCGAAGCGACGCGCTCGTGAAAAAAATTGAGCTCGACTTGTAGGCAAGTCTACTTAAGAAACTGAAGGGATGTATATCAACCGACTTACGTTACACTGACTGACATATAGTACTCCAGAGTTGACATATCCCTTCTTCTTTTGCTTCTTTTTAGGATTAACAAGGTCAAGACCTTTCTGGAAAATAATTTTTACAAATACATGTTTATCATTGAAAAACAAGAGAGGACTAATACAGTCAAAGAAGTAACAAATGAATCAGTACAATGAACCATCAGTTAAAGGAACAGTATCCCGTTACTGCGCATGCACCAAACTTTGACTTTTGGACAGGATGTCGCGAAATCAAAAGATGCGAGGAGAGTCAGAGAACCTTCAAAAATCCGTTTGCATCGCGCTTGGCCGGGTTCAATACGACACTAAAACTTCTCAGGATTACAGATCAATGATGTATTGTACCCGTTGAGTTTCGATTTGGGCGAAATCTGGACTTTTGGCGTTACTTTTATTGCCGTTGGCTGGAGGACCAAAAGATGGGAAGCGCTTTGATGCCGATTGAAGGCTTATTTCTTCTACAGTGGAACCCCGTTAATACGACCACCTTCGGGCCATGGAAATTTGGTCGTATTAACGGGGTGGTCGTATTAACGGGGTAGGGTCTACCCTGCGAGCAGAGGCCCTTCGATCTTCCTAGATAAGTCGGGAAGACTTATCTAGGAAGATCGAAGGGCCTCTGCTCGCAGGGTAGGTAGGGTCAAATTATGGTGCAAAATGCTTTTAAACTACATTCTACTACATGTATACCTTTAATCCGTTATAAATCAACGTGTACTAGCTTCCTTACAAGCTCAGATAATTGTGAAAGGAATAGGCAGAAATGAAACAGCAACAATAAACTGGCTGTAAGAAAGAAACCATTGAGACATTGATGTGACTGAGGAGATCTTGTGGAGGGGAGCTTCGTGAAGCAGAATGTTTTGCAACGACGCGGCCGACAAAATCAAACAGACAGGCGGTACATGTTTAAAAAAATCATAATATAATTTCTGACTAACCTTTGCTATGATTCATAGCGTTGACATTGCATTTTTATTTACGTCTTTCAAACGCGAGCAAATCATGCAAATATTACTGGATTCGGAACAATTGACCTCTGACACGAGTTTCACATTAGAAAAACTGTTTTTAAAGCGAGCGGAACGAGATTTTCGGGTCGCGAGGCGGCCCTGCTAGCGATAAAATCGCGATAAGTCTTCGTGCCGCGAGTCAAATTTTAAATAAGAAGAAAGACTTCTTCGAAAGCCTGAAATATTACTTGAGAATATAAACAACAAATCTCCGTTAGCCTGCAGAGCAGGCGTTTTTTACGTTTTTTAACGAAAACTCGGAGGTACTTTGATCGTGGCCGCCATCTTGAAAAGCAACCAAAAAGACTAAGGGGGAGGGGCGGTGGAAGGGGGGAGGGGCGGGGAGGAGAGAGGAGAAAACCCTCCCCTCCTCTCCCCCTCCCCTATTTTTAACCCATCTACCTCTCCCTTAAAAACACTTTTTGACTCGTCCCAACTCTCTGGTAGTATTAACGTCCAAGATGGCGGGACAACGTTATCCTGAAAACAATTCATGGATCTCGCCCCAAAATACGCCTGCTTTGCAGGCTAATCTCCGTCGGCGGTGCGTCCGGAAGGAAATCTTGTCGAGTCAATATGACAGTTCTATTGTCTTTTGAAGAAAAAACAGATGACGCTCGCGCGTGCGCATAATCGGACACTGTCCCTTTAATGAGAGCTTTAAAAGTTACGAATAATCAAAATCAGAGAAAGCCGTCTGTGCAGTAGATAAGATCCTATACAGTGACACTGTACCATTAATAAAACTTAAGATTTTAGGGGGTTCTAACGTATATCTGCTGAAGTTGGGAGCTCAGAGTAAAATATGTAAGACAAAAATATTGAAGGTTTCTTATAATTTGAAAGGTTTTAAGTCGGCTCAGCCCAGTATTTTTGTTAGCAAATTTTTCATCTTTGAACCTCTTGTGCTTAAACAGCTTGATCTTTATTGTAAATCCAATGTAACACATAAATTGACTGAACACATAGACTGATACATGTGCATGTATGATAGAATTGTTTGGCGATCGCAAAGAATATCACACGACAATGACGTCACAATTGTTTTAGCTCCAAATCGAATTTCAGCCTTCATTCGCATTTTCTTTGTGAGCGCTTTCAGTGCGCTACGTATATTTTGAGTGGTAACCCAAAGCGAGTTCGGGTAAATTCACGCGTCCTGCATGGAAATTCCACGTACACACGTGCTATGCTCGAGGCAGGAGGAAACCCAAGAACACAAAATTATCCAGATCTTTGACATCGCTTCAATGCTCCCTCAATTTTGCGCGTACGTTAGACAACTTTAAAAGTTCTCAATTCAGGGACAGCACAGTATACTAACCAATTGCAGCTCTGAACATTTTTGCAGGAAAACTATCTGCACGAATTTGGATTAAATCGCTGTTCACATAAAAGGAAAAGTGTACCCACACTATTTGTAAAAAGAGCTCAGCATTTTCTTTTACCCCGATTCAAATTTTTTCAATTTTTTCGAGATCGCGAAAGTCTACTTGCTTCCAGCGGTTTGGAGAATTAATAATCGATCTTTGCGTAATGAATGAATAATTTGTCCGCCATAAGTCAAGTCTTAAGTTCACGCGTAGATTATACATACTTTTTTGCAGAAATTCCAAGAGATCTCAAAATTCCTCTGGTAGATTTTTGCGAAACTTCAAAGAGCAGAAGCATTTCTATAGAAAATGCGGAGCTGAAATTTGATTGACCTTATTGTCACGTGATATTCATTCCGTTCGCCTAAAAGAATAAAGTTATAATAAACTTGATGTTCAGCTACTTTGAATCCACGTGTTACAACTGATTTACAATGGAGATCAAGCTGTTTAAGTATAAGTACAAGATGTTCAAAAATGGGAGATGTGCCTACAAAAATTCTGGGTCGAACCACCAGTCAAACTGAAAGGGAATACACTGATCATCACTCTAGTCACTGATCTTACCCCAGTCTGTTTGGTCTCTAGCAATTGCCGAAGAGTGGCATTGGTTCCCCCAATAAAGTCGTGGGTCCCATCGTCATCATAATCAAAGCAATCAATCTGTCATGATGTTGAACATGAGAAAATGACCAGAAAATATCATCAGTAAAAAAGTACATACCCCAGAATCTTTTGTATCAATCAGCTGCCGAAGTGTTACATCCACACAGCCAATTAGATCATCATTGTCACCTTCATCCCAGTCATAGCAGCCAAACTTGTAACGGCAAAAATTAGACGAAAGAATAGTGTATTAGATTGCTTTGAGTGTTCATTTGCCGATTATTGTTCTATAATTTACATGTAGGAAGTTTGTCGTGGATAATCTTCTTGAAAATGACTAATTTGTGATAAACACATTTAAAATTATTTTTAATAATAATAAGCAAGTGCATACATGCATGTAATAATCATTTGTACTATTCGAATTACTGGAACTGAATATTCAGTCATTTCAAGTGTTTTAAATAGTTAGTGTTCATGGCCTTTCTGTGTTTAAGTGCGATAAACATTTGCATGAAATATTATTCAAAATATAATAAATAAATAACAATACGTTCGATGTGAAAGGCCAAACCAAAAACTTGCCTTTCACTCAAGCCCCCCTTACCCGTATTGTTGCATCATAATCTCCACTGCAAAGTGTATGAAGTGGAATGGTGAATGATTTCCAAGATGGACTGAGATTGTTTTTAACAACCTACAAAATAATAAGCATATAATACCGTAATAATAATTCTTATAATAATAATAACAATAATAATGATAATAATAATCATTGACCTACGCTGCCATTTGGAGAAAAAAGGAATTTTATCAAGAAAAGTTGGTTGAAAAACATAATGTGGGTTTATTTGTATTGTATTACACATTACCAACACAAAATAATACACACATTCTTTTCAAAATCTCAGCATCGGGTTTATTCTATTAAGATATTGCTAAAATTTGGCAAATTTTAGCCTCAGTATCCCTAAAGACAAGACTCCCATAGTGGCGGTTCATTGGGCTGAAAACTACTGACTGTCTGATGCAGTAGTTTAATACTTTGAGAAGTGTAGATTATAATTACACTTTTTCAAGCTTGAGTGTATAAGAGAAGCTGAAAACAAAATCAAATGGAGGGAGAGGGTTGCTATGTCTGTGGCACCCCAACGGTCACCATGACTACAGGATAGGTGAATGGCGTACATTTGATCTACCAGTAATTCCAAAAATTATGGTCGTTCTACGCTTATAAAATGCGACAGGGTCAACTTTGGTGTTTTAAATACTATAAAACAACAATAAATTCCTGTTTCTTAAAACTCGCAAAGCAAATTAAGTTTCAGTTCTACTTCTGTCAGATATTGCATTTAAAGCCCTTCTAAATATCCACGGCAAGTGAATATGCTTCTAGTAGACGGGGCCGTCTACAAATAGCATATTCCTTTACTGAAAGAAAAGACTTATCACACACAGAGAGTGAATTGCAACAAGTTGAGGCTTTGCCCGTGGGGAACATTGTTCCTGTAGCTCTCCCACAGGATTATAACATCATTGAATAATGCATTTAGATAATCATTTGACACAGATATAGGGCCAATAACTCCACGAAATAATTCATTGTTTATTCTATATCAACTTCTAATCTGTTCGCCAGACGAACTGAAATGACCCGTCCCTTTCCCTGCAAAAATCGGCCCTGTTGAAGGGAGAGTAGGACAAGTCTTTTTTTGATGGAGAAAGCCCATTCCATGATAAGGAGGGTCCAAGTACATGTAGGTCATGTTTACCTCAGTTCGATGAACGAGCAAAGTTCCACCATCAGCTTTAACTTTCGACACTTGAAGAAAAGGATCTGATTTTCCAAGAAAGTCCTGCAATAATTATGTCATAAACACAAGTCAGTACACATTATAGTAGTTAACGTTATGGGGCACTGACAAAAAAATAACATAACACACTATGTTTTGGTGGGAGAAATTGGCTAGGGAAAAACCAGCAAGGCTCGGACAAAACCCACTGACAGGATAACCCACCAGATGAGGGCAGGCTAGGCACATGGCGTCATGCCAAAGGGGATGCCTAATGCCTATACTCCAAGGCGAGCATGATTCACTCATTTGTGTGGCTGGGATTATATCCTTGGCCATGTTAACCGAGTCCAGCAGAATTCCCATGTACCCTCCCTGACAGGGCTTCAGCACAAGGTTGAAGGGATACAGCAGGCAGCAATTCCAACACAAGTCAGTACATATTATAATGTAATAATTAGTTTATCTAACTACCCTTTTATTGTTATTTATTTCTATAAGCACTTTATTAATTTTACGGAACAGGCATTTTTCATACTATGTAAATTTAGCACTGTGCCCCCGGCCCCCCTCCCCCCCACCCCAAATTTTAAATGAATAAATAAATAAGTAAAAGGAACTAAATTTAGCAAAAAATGTCAAAACACTGTTCAGTACTGATCTGGATTAACAACCAGCCTTAGAATGGCACTAAAACTGATTTTAACTTCCCAAAAAGAAAAAAAAAAGCCTTCAATGATTGTTTCAGGCAACCGGAGGGTGTTCGTTAGGCATTGGAGATTTCTCTGTTTACTATGAAGAATTCTCTACGCTAACGTTTGGTAGCCTGTGAGTAGTTTTTCCTGCAAGTAGAATTCTTCATGAAAACCTTGAACCAGGGGGTCCTTCTTCCTTTTTTCTTTTGCCCATCCTCGAATTTCATGCTTCCCCCCTCCCCAAAAAGAGGATGCTCCCCCTTAAGAAAAAATGGGAAAAAGAGAACGCCTGATTGCAGGTGATCACTATGCCATAGCTGCTATTGAATGCCTTCCTGGCTCCGTATGCCTTGTTGACCCAGTCTTTGGTCAGTTACATGTACTTGGTCAGAGTAATTTCTATCCCTATAAGTTTTTTTTGGGTAGAGGACAGGCAACCCTCCAAGTTAAAGTTTTTTCCTGGTTACCATTTGGCAACCAACTATTTTGATTTACACTGCAGATATGGATACTAAGAACTCTGGGGACCACACCCTACCAGCAATGCCTTTTGTTTACTTGATTAGGCGTACTTGAGAGAAAGATCTTTGTTAAGCATGTGCTGCATGTCGCTAGGATACAGAGTTTCAAACCCAGGCCTAATAGCCATGAGCTCGGTATAGTAGGCTCAGTTAGGACCAGCAGTTTTTTAATCAAAGGGAAGCTCAACTTGAAAAAAAAATTAGGTTATGGCAACTTTAAAGCAGACCTGCCAACTCTCACGATTTTTTATCTTTTCTCACGGACTCATGACAAGACTCCCAATCTCACGGTTTTTGGGAAAAATCATTCTGAAATGAAATGTTATCTTGTGGAATAAAGTGGAGATTCAGTGGGGAATGCCAGTACTTTGTTGGGACTTTCTGTAATATTTTGGCCATGATTAGTCAGCTTATCCAGTAGAAACGACCCCTACTAGCTCTAAGTTTCGGACTTTTTTAAGTGACGACTTCTTAGAGTCATTAAAGAAAGAGGCATCTTGTAACAACAGGGACCACAATGTTACATTCAATTAATTATTGTATGTGTGTATTTCTGAAATTTATTTGTATATATTTCTTTCTGTATTACAGAGGGCCATGTGTTAGAAAACTCTTTACTGGGTTAATCATGTATCTACCCTCTCAAAATAAAGAACATTGTATTGTGTTGTATTGTATTGTATTGTAAAGCAAGGAGATAACATTTAATTAAAATACTTAATACCCCCTCAATGGAAAAGGGTATGTTTGATCTTGATCAGGAAAAAAATACATGTAGAATATAGCTACATTTTGTACGTTTATCAGGGTTGGCAGGTCTGTTTAACAAATCAACCACAATTTTCCATGGTCTACATTCTTATAGACCATAGAAATGATGTCATGAAATGTTCAAAACTCAAGTGGAACCACGAGCCGCAGGCTAGTGGTTTCAATGCAAAGTTTTGAACATTTTATTGCATCATTTCTACAGTCTGTAAGAGTGCAGACCATGGAAACTTGTGGTTGATTTGTTTTTTACAATAACATTTATATTTAGCTTCCTACGAAATTGTTGCAAGTTTTCCTCCTGCGTGAAGCAACGTTTTTCTTGTTGTTTTTCGTATTTTTATACCTTCTGCACATTACCAAACTTTGGTAGTTGTACCTTACAATTAGGAGCAAAGACCAGCATGTTCGGTGCTCAACTTGTAAACAATGTTTTGGGCAATTTTATTTCTTCTTAGCCGGACAGTAAATAGCAAATGGCTCAACTAGCATCAGCGGGTGATTTTGGCAAAATTTCCAGGGGTGAATGGGTTATTAATGCAACAGATTACAGCCAGTAAATAATGCCTTATGGTAAATTGCAGACAGAGGATCCATAAGATGAAGATAATAACTGCAATTTGGACAAAAATGACAATGGGGGAAGGTGGCTATGTTGTGTTGTTCAATTTTTTCCTTGGTTTAAATTTTATTTCCCTTTGATTAAGGGAGGGTGTGGTAATGTATGATAATGAGTTTAAAACACGGGGAAATGAAATTTAAACCAAGGATAAAATTGAACCACAACAGCTACACTATAACTTTTTGGTTTATGCAATGATCCAATGAATACATTGTACACATAATGAGAAGCACATAATGCGCATGTATACAGATCATCTCTAACTATTGAAAGAGCATGATTGAACACTTTTGTACCTTTTTATCCAGATTTGTTGCTCTAAATGTCAACTGAACAATTTCATTTCCTCCTTTTAATTCTTCAGCATATACCTTAAAGAAAACAAGGATTGGTTAAAGAGGGTAAATCATCTTTAGCCAAACCTCTTGTCACTTTTACCATTCATTAGTGTACAAATTATGTAGCTTGTGATCTGTTTAAACTAAGTCCAAAACTTTTTGGAGACTGTGCTGAGATGATTTAGCCTACAAAAAAATTAGTTCTTATAAGACTGCCAGGCAGAGTACCTGTCAGTGAAATTTGAGAGCAACATCTTTCACACATATTCCATTGCTGACCATTAAAATAGTTATAAAATAAAATAGTCATTATTTTTTCCTGTAAAAATAATAAGGTTGTTACGCAAAATAAATTACCGTATTTTATTGCTTGAGGCACATTTTTTCAATGAAAGTCTGCTCGATAGCTCTAAATCTGTTGTAATTTTGGGGTGAGTCTTATTTATTAGGCTCTACAGATAGATGCTCATCTTCTTTGTTATCGGTTTCCAATGACTTCTACATATTCTAAAGCCGGCACTAAATGAAGAAAAAATCAATTTGTATTCGAAACAAATCATCTGGCATCAATGGTTTTGAACTGAATGGTGATGCTTGGTAACCAGACGAATTTTTGAGCCCATGCTTGACCCAAGATAGTGGTTTATTTACAGTCATTTCTACACTGCAATCTTGCGCTTGTTTCAAACCTTTATTTTCCGAAGAAAGCTCCCAAATCTTTTTATAGGCCTCTTTTATCACAGTTATTTTGATAAACAAGGGCTTAATTTACCATATTTAGTAGTTAATTAACAAAATATAGATTAATGCTTCATATAATTCGATTTCATATTATTATTGAATGACATTAACATGGTTGAACAGCAGGGAACTAACGATTACAGACACGTATGCTAAAGAAACTTTGATAGACTTTTAACTTTTTTTGAATTGTTAATAAATGAAATACATTTCATTCAATTTCAAATTCGAACAAAGAATATTTAATAAGCTTTGGTTTGTGGGATCTTTAATGTCCAAACTGTTCAAGAGAAACTAGTTTTTGTTTCCCTGGTAGGTACAAGTTCAAGGTTGGGCTCAACTGTAAAAGAGACCTGTACAACCTAGAGGTATGGATTATCACGACAGTTACTATTTAACCAGACTGCTAGAAAAAGAGTATTATGATTCATTCATAGATTTTTGTTGCAAGCTCATCATTATATTGTTGTTGTTTAATATGGTTGCTGTGGTGGTAAAAAAAGAGGGTTCAAAAAATTAAGATAGATTTGGCCAAGGCTAAAGACAATTGCAAGGATCCCAGTGATAAAGTAAAATAATTGCCAAGGAGCAGCCTCAAGAAGACATGCAAGTTATTCAAGACATTTCTAAAAAAAATAATTGAATAGCGCGGCGGTACATTTATGGGCAAAATCTTTGCTCGTTTGCACTTAGCGATAGCTAAAACTAGATATACAGTTGACTCCCGATAACTCGAACCCTTGCTAACTCGAACCTCACACTAACTTGAACCAAAATCGATTTCCCCTGGATTTCCATCATACATTTACTGTAATTTTACCCTTGGTAACTCAAACCCTCGATAACTCAAACCTCCCACTAACTCAAAGTAGTTTTTGTTTTCCCTTGGATCATTTCTATATAATTTTACCCTCAATAACTCAAACCATGTTTTGAGCCCTTGAAAGTCAGGAAAAAACAGTCTACTGGCTTCCGAAACATTGAATTTTGAATTTCCATTGACGTGTTGTAGGCATATAATTATAGTTTATTAGTGGACGCTTATGTTGTTTGTTACAAATCTAGCGTGAAACAGCTTTACTTCTCAAAACAGTAAAACGCATTCTCTATTAAGGTAATGTCATGTTACGTTCTGATTTATGATCTAAATGTATCTTTTAATTTTCACGTGACATTTCGACAATTAACGACCATTAAATGAGATTAAATTGTTCACTATGCCGTAAAAACTGTTTTTTTCCTTACTCCCGGATATTTTCTTGGAGCTCCCGATAACTCAAACTTTTTTTATTTCCCTTGAAGGTTCGAGTTATCAGGAGTCTACTGTAATAAACTTGTAACCATTACAACAAAATCCACTTGAAGTTAAGCCTGCAATCAGTTTAAAACTGGTAACTTGTCAATAGATAACATAAAAAAACACGTAATCTCATTGGGTCAACACCTGAGCCCACGATACAGTCATGTTATACTGGTCAGCAGAAACCCTGTTTTGACAGCTGTCAATTGACCACAACATGGATGTGCATTATCAGTTTGCAGGCTCTCACATCAGCTAGAAAGTGTGACACTTTACATTGGTTTCCCCGTGGTGAGGACGGACGGATGGACAGGTGGACGTGCAGTCAAGTGACTACCAAAATTTCTTGGATGGATAGCTAACCAAATTTTCTTAGCTATGGCAAATGGGGCTCTGCTGGTGCGTGTGGAGCTCCTTTACAACAGGATAACCGAAAATACTAATTAAAACAGCCCACCTGACCAAGTGTACACTCCATAGCACCAAGAAAGTCATCGTCTCCCAGGCTGCTTGTCTCATTATCAACATCATAGACTGCAAACTTCAGTTTTTGCACCATCTCAAAGTAATAATCCATGGTAATTCCTTTGGCAAAATCTGGGTTTAGATTATTCTTCACCTTCTCTGTTCTTTCATGCTACAATTGCAATGAATTACGTATTTTGAACAACAATAATTATTAAACTGAGTCAATACAAATATGGTGGATTAAAGTTACTGTACATTATAATTATTGTTCCTGTGAATGCCGAAAATACAGCCAAAAACAGTCCATAAAATAAAACACCTGCTCACAGTTGTTAGAAACTTTAATAACATCAAGAAATCACTAATCATAATACCATAAAGCTTAATACTCAGTGGTAGTCATTGTTGACAGACATTTAAGTGTTAATGTAGACTTAAACCTCTACTGAATGACCACTATAGAGATATTTGGTGGACCTGTTCTGACAAAGCTGAAAGTTATTGATCATTTTAGGGACGTAAAATTAATGTTTCATGAGTGATGCCTGATCTAGTGTCAAATTCTCCCTTTGATAGAAGTGTATATATGTTACAGGTCGAATTTGATTTCAAGTTAAGGTTGATTCTCAAACTAGAATCAAACTAGGTTAAATCAAAATTAACCTGAAATCAAATTTGACCTGTAACATATACACTGTACATCATTATTCATCCCATAATGACAGTTATACAGTCAGATTCATAAAGAAAAGTTTAAAGGGATACTCTATACCCAAAACCGTAATTTGACGAAAAGATAGTGATTCGCTCCCGTGATTGAAGGGCTACTTTATGTTGAAGATTTCACCACTAACTGATTTTTGCGTACATGACCGTACATGGAATTTATTTGCACAGGTAGTAGTATAGTCAACTGAAAAATTAAATTAATATGACAAAGAAGGTTATTACACATGTCGATTTCGGTTGAAGCGACGGGAAAATATTATACTTACAATTTGTGTTCCATATGCGGCTAGTAAGCTTCGAAGTGCGATCTGTGGTGACACTTTTGAAATGTAAGTTGCATAACGAACTTCTAGGTTTTTAAAATAATTAGTCACCTGATCTATTTTTGCCGCATTGCGCTAAGATAATTAAATATTCACAAAAAAAATTGACAAATGGCTTGAAAAATGCAAATCACTCCGCCCCAGTGCGGAAATTAGGTCTAAATAATTAGTTCTAATTGAGCAACGACTATAATGGCTTAAGTGTTCAATGTTCAATAAAGAAGTGTCAGAAAATGGTGTTAGAGTCCATTTCTACTATCGACTAGCTTGAGCGATCCGCATTCAGTTCGTCTTTAGTGGCTATGAGACATAACTTGTGAATTGGTCTGTCATACTCTCCGTCTCTTGTCTTGATTCTCACTTTTCGGACAAGTCCGTCGTTTCCAGGATATGTGCCTACAATACGCGCCATTTTCCATTCACATCTTTTGTGTTTGGGGTCCAGCTCCAGTACAAGATCACCGATCTGGATGTTATCTCGCACGCGAAACCACTTGTTCCTTGGTAACAAGTTTGGGGCGAAATACTTCATCCAGCTCCTCCAGAAATCAGCAACTCTGTTTTGGGTGCTCCTGAGTAATTGTCGCGGATTGGTTCTTTCCTCTGGTTCTGGTTGTGGTGGTGGATTGTAGTGGCCTAGAAGTAGGTCGTTTGGAGTGATCGGTGGGGCCTCCCAGATATCGTCGGAACTGGGGTACAGCGGTCGTCCGTTGACCATGTAGGTGATTTCTGACAAAATTGTTCTCCATTGTTCCTCGGAGTAGGCTTGGTTCTTGCAAGTGGCGTTAAATGCTTGTCTGACTGACTTAATTAGGGTTTCAACAACTCCGTTTTGGTGACTCGCATGTGGTGTATTCCATTCCCATCTGAGCTCGCAGCTAAATTTATCAGAGAGGACACTCTTTACCCCAGGAATATCCCAGTTCTGCGTGATTTCCTTTAGGTAACCTTGGGCACCCACGAAATTTGTACCACGGTCTGACCAGCAAACATTAGGGTGTCCGCGTAGGCAGGCAAACCGTCGAAAAGCCATTAAGAATGCATCTGAAGTTTTATCGGTGACCAGCTCAAGATGAATCGCACGTGATGTCATGCAAGCGAAGATGATCACTTGTGCCTCTTTCAGAGTTTTGCGGCCGAGCTTGATCTGTACTGGCCCAAACATATCCATAGCAGTGTTTGAGAATGCCGGGAAGCCAGCTGCTACTCTTAGGTTTGGAATCTGTCCCATGAGCTGGTTGAGAGGCCTTTTCCGTAGTTTTCTGCATATGACACACTTTGAGGTGACGGTCTTAGCCATTCTGCGGAGTCCAATGATCCAGAATCTTTTTCTGGCCTCGTGGATTAAACTCTTATAGCCACAATGCCCACGTCGTTCGTGGAGGTCACGCAGAAGCAAGATCACAAAAGGGTGGTCTTTTTGCAAGATAATAGGCTTTCTCAACTCTTCCGGGAGACATCTGATATCTTCAAGTCGACCATGCGCACGAAAAAGGCCATCTTCAGCCTTCTTTGCTACCAGTTTCTTATCCAAGCTGTCTTCGTTGACGTGAAATTGACTCCACTTCAGAAGATGGGTCTCGGCAGCCTTCAGTTCCTGAACTGAAATGGGCCCTGACTTTAGGTTCATTTTCCGAGCGTTGTGAATAAAGCGACCGACGTAGGCTAGAGTTCTCCGTATCTTGGAGTACGTAGAACACGTTTTCAGCAAGTGTAAAAGGATAGGATTTTCTTCAGATCCAGGTTGATCTAGTTCAGGACATACTTCCGCGGCGGCACTGTGATGTTTACCGGCTTTCTTCTCTTTCCGAAACGTTTTCTTCTCTCTTAAAGCGTCGAGGTCGTCCACATGAGTGTTAACTCGGGTGTGGTCTTGAGCGCTGGGCCACTTTTCTTCTGGCAACTCTAGGAAGGATGGTCCCTCTGACCACTTCATGAGATGATTAAGATGGATTCCTCTCGTTAGAGCATCTGCATGGTTGTTGTTAGACTTAATGTAGCGTATTTGGTCTGCCCCAATCGTCTCTTGAATTTCAGCCACTCTAGCAGATACGAAAGGCCTGAATTCCCGTGGTGGCGTTCTGATCCAGGACAAAACGGTCGATGAATCTATCCAGAAGAATCTTTCCCAGTCCTGGGCTTTTGCGAACTCCAATGCTTTTACACATGTAACGTACATGCGTGCAAGTGCTAAACAGCCCAACAGTTCTAATCTCGGGATGCTCTTCTTCTTCAGAGGTGCGACGAAAGCCTTTATCGTGACTGGAACACTACGATAGTCTCCGCCAGCAAGTTTCCACCGTAGGAAGATGACCGCACCATAAGCCTGCTCACCACCATTGGAGAATCCGTAAATTTGAGGCACGCCCACTGCGTTGTTTGGTTTTAGCTTGCGGTCAAACTGAAATGACAGGAGATCATTTATGGACTGGACATTCTCTAACCATGTTTGCTGAATACTCTCGGGAAGGATGTTGTCCCAGCTGTAACCTAAACTCCATAATCCTTGCAAGTCAATTCTGAACTTGATTGCGACGGGCAGCACAAGACCGAAGGGGTCCCATAACTGACCAACAAGACCTAAACAGCGCCTCTTTGTCAGGACATCCAGTTCTCCGAGGTCATTCTTTTTGAAGGTGAACGTGTCTAGCTGTTCATCCCAGCTTAGGCCGAGAAGATCCGTGAACCGTTCACCGTTGGATTGGTCGATTTCTGCCTCATTGGAATGCCAAGTTTTGATCTGGAAGTTGCCTTTCGCGAGGACAGCGTCGATGTGGCTGATAATCTGCTTTGCCTTGGTTACTGTTTCTCTGGAGCCACCGATGTCATCCACGTACACATGCTGTCGGAGTTCTTCTGCGGCTTCCGGGAATTCTGCGTTCGAAAGCTTGGCTAGCGTATTGATAGCATTAGTTGCGATGTCAGGAGCCGATTTATTACCAAAGTTCAGTCTTAGCCACTGGTAAACAGTTGGTTTGTCACATGTGTTGCTCCTCCACAGAAACCTGTGGTACACCTGATCCTCAGGATGTACCAGGATTTGGTTGAACATTTTACAAACGTCACCAGTGAACGCCACTTCGTCCCATCGCCATGCTGCCAGTACATCCAGAAGACTATTGATGAAGTTAGGTCCTTTCTCAAGGTAATCGTTGAGGGACAACCCATCATGACCTTTTGAAGATGAATCAAAGACTAGTCGAACTTTTGTGGTTCTTTCTGGCGTAAACACTGCTTGCAGTGGGGGGTACCATTCGGGTTTATCATGAGCGATTTGTTCAGGTGGAATCATCGTGATAAAGTTCTGGTCTAACAACTTTTGCACTTCCTCTTTTACGACCTCGAAGCAACCCTTTTTTGCATAAACCCCCTTTCAGCGGAGAGCATCCTCTTCAGAGCGATGTCGTAGTTGCTTCGTTTTGGAGGCCCTCCTTCTTTCCAGGGCATCTTCACTTGTATTCTCCCGTCGACCAAAGTAGTTGAAGCTGCGAGGGACTTCACGAACTCGCTCTCACGTAACACGTTTTCAGTGCAAGTACAGAGTTTGGTTGGTTTGACTCCAAGGAGGTCTTGGTGGAGAAGTTTCTTGATATCTCCCTCGACACTCACTGTCCCTACTTCTATTGACTGAATTTCAGATAGGGTGGAGCCGCTTGACTCGAACTGTTCCAGAACGTACCATCCAAAGCAGTTTCTTTTCCCGATGGGCTCTCCAGGTTCTCCGGACACTGTGTGAATATCAATGAAGGCCTCTACGAAGTCTGTGCCAATAAGGAGATCTATGGCACCACCCGAGAGATGTATTTTATCGGAAACGTTCTTCAAATGGCTGTATTGTCTCACTGACTCCTTAGAAATTGTTTTGGCACTACTGCAAGGTCTAGTTATGGTGTACACTTGAAGGGTCTTCGTAATATCTTCGTCAGAGGGCGAGGCAACCGTGACATCGATTATCTCAGAAGGTTCGCTTTTCTTCTTTCCACCCGCTAAATTCATACTGAGACGTGTTGCTGCTCCATTTAAGCCAAGTCGACCAGCTGCACTTTTGGAGAGTAGGCTTGTGTTAGACCTGGAGTCCAACATGGCGAGAACTTCGACAAAATCTCCATTTTTGTTCATGACTTTAACTTTTTGCACAGGGCAAAGTCCAGTAACAGGTTTCAACTTGCTTTTCTGGTGCACAGCATTCCCTTGGATATTACCATTCGACGTAGGTGTGGGCCCTTGGAACTGACTTTGGAACGGTGGTGCTTTGGGATTCAAACTTGTGTTAGTTTCTCCAGTCTTTTCGTTATGTAGGCACCGGTGATGGTTTTTTTCTGCATTTGTTGCACGTTGAGCCGTCTGGTTTCTTGCAATCGTTTGTGTGATCTGCTCTCAGACACTTGTGACATCGCCAATGTTGCTTTACAACCTCCCACCTTTGATTGACTGTTAGAATCTGAAACTTAGGACATGCAGCCGGGTGATGTTTGGTCTTACAGCCAAGAGGACATGTTTCATCGTCAGAATCCCCGCTGTTAGCGGCGTTATTTGCTGTCTTTTTGGGATCTTTGTCTCGGCGAATTTCGTTTCTTTCCACTGTGTTGCTGTTCCCTCGGGAACGAATACTCGCTTCTTGATGTAACCAGGTGATTAGATTGCTCACGGTTTCTTCTTTTCCTTCTCTTTTCATTTCTCTACCAAAATCTGAATTGTCACTTGGATCGAGTTTGGACAGAAGCTGGGACATGAGGAACGGCGCTTCAACTGACTCCAGCACAGGACACCCAATATTATCTTCCATGTCACTTACATAACAGGCTATTGTCATAGCGAAATGCATTAGGGACTTAGAATCTCGTTTGACTGCTTTAAGATTATTAATCTCGGTGTGCAGTTCGTCCATTAGTTTTTGTCTGTCTGCGAACTCTGTATCCAAAATGATCCACGCGCTGTCAATGGTTTTACAAGTTTTTACTTGGTCGGTCCAGAACGATCCTTTTGGCATTGCATTTCAAAAACGTTGCAATTGTTCATCTTTATCCTGACCGTATTTCTTCATCCAATGGCTGAACTCCTTTTCCACGTGGCATAGGTTCTGCAAGTTCCGTCCCATACTGGTACAGGTAATCGTTGTAAACTTGAGTTTGACAGTTTTGATCCGATGTTATCGGCCATTTTCTGCATCGCCGACGTCATGGACGACATTGATAATGTTAGCGCTTCCAGAGTTGTCGCATTGTTAGAATTTTCTGAGGAGTTTTGTTCCTTTTGATATGCAGCAAACTTTAAAGTGATTTGAAGGAAATCAGCTTTGGTTTTGTCTCCAGTTTTTTTTGTTGCTAACACAAGTTCGTCTTCTGGGCCAGTGCCTTCATCGACCAGTCTATCCAGAATTGTTTCCTGCTGTTTCTTGACCAGTCTGTACTTGGTTTCTACTAAACTGAATGCTGCTTCAAGTGTTTTTAGGTCCGGTTTTACGGAGAAAATTGTTTCGAATTCTTCCATTAATTCGTACAAGAGTTTGACGGCATTGTCCAGTTTTCCCGCGAGAGTTTTCACGTCTACCTTCGGCGGCATTGTGAGCGGAATTTAAATGCGAAGCTTGGTGGTAGTTAGTAACTCGGCGTAATCTTCTGCAACAAATTTTGACCGATTCGCTCCTGTGATTGAAGGGCTACTTTATGTTGAAGATTTTACCACTAACTGATTTTCGCGTACATGAACGTACATGGAATTTATTTGCACTTGTAGTAGTATAGTCAACTGAAAAATTAAATTAATATGACAAAGAAGGTTATTACACATGTCGATTTCGGTTGAAGCGACGGGAAAATATTATACTTACAATTTGTGTTCCATATGCGGTTAGTAAGCTTCGAAGTGCGATCTGTGGTGACACTTTTGAAATGTAAGTTGCATAACGAACTTCTAGGTTTTTAAAATAATTAGTCACCTGATCTATTTTTGCCGCGTTGCGCTAAGATAATTAAATATTCACAAAAAAATTGACAAACGGCTTGAAAAATGCAAATCAGATAGCTTAAGGACTTATTAGATGATTTTGATTAAAAAAAGGCAAGTAATCGTCTGCATTTGCCTGAAAACAAGGAAAGTTGTTCGTCACACAATTAAAATTTTGCGCTACAGCTAGAAACCGGAAATGATGTAGAAAGAAGATCCTGTCTCAAGGCAATACATCATGGCCTCCAGGTTTCCGACGGTCTGTTTTGAACAGTCAATAAAGGATTTTATGGCTGATATTTCAGGAAGAATCTTATAATGCCACACTGCTGCATTGCTATTGAATGTTTTAACACTCGCAAAGACAGAATTAGTCTATCACTGGCCCGATCATCCCCGATATGCGAGGTTTTGGATGAATGCTGTGAAAAACACTCGCTGAATCTACAAACTCAACTAGACCTTGCAACACTCATTTTACTGAAGACTACTTTGAAGCCGAAGGACGAAGCGATAGCTTAGTCCTTCGGCTTAAAGATGAACCCAATAATTATTATAAAAGCTGATGAAGTACCATTAATTTTTAAACTTGGGCTACCAGAAACTTAAAAACTAAGGTGTGAAACAGATACTGCCGCAGCTTCAGGATACTCAAGATAAAGACAAATCACCAAAAAATTATATTTGCTTATGCTTTAAATATGGCGAATAGATGTTAAAATTCTGTGTAGTCTACAGCGTGTCATCTGCAAGGCAAAATCCCTTAAACACAAAGTCATATTCATTGCCTGGGGGAGGGATGTGAGCCCCAATGCAGCAAACAGCACAAGAGGGATCGTGCAAGATGGCAGGACAATGGAACTTTTCACGGCTAAAATGCCTAGCACCACCTTGCCAGCTGCCTTTACTCTTTAAGCTACGTGCAATAATTTACTCCCTTGTTTGTTGCTGCTCTTTTAGAACAGTATTTTGGGTCGTCAGCTTTTAATTAAGCATAACCCTGGTAGTGTTTTACCAATTTATGTGTACTGGATGGTAATGATCAGTATAACCTTCATGACAAACTTCTCGTCATAAGCTGAAGAGTAGTGTCTCTCAGAAAAAGTCGAGATGACGATCACGTTTGTGAGTCATGCACATTGACTCCAGAGAATAATAGGATCTAGTTGCATATATAAAGTATAAAGAGTAAATTGCATATTCTCATTTTTTTTTTTTTCACTCTCTCTTAAACTCAATTGTGAGTACAGTTTCAACCCAGTCTACATTTCACCCCCAGTTTGCAGTCCCTGTTTTGCATTTTGCACCAAGCTTGCATTTTGGTCTTACACTAAATGATTTGTTGTCAAGGGGAAGTGACAAAAAGTACAGCACCTGCTTACATGAGTGCACTTCGATGTTACAGGTGTTTTTGACACGCAATCCCCCAGGTTTGTTACTGGAGTAATAAATTAAGTATCATGTACGTACTTGTAACTCCCTCAAACTCTTGTATAGCTCAAATACTTCTTCTTATTATATGGGTATATCTACCTAGCATCAGTCACATAATTGTTTTAGCATGCAATGATTTTTATAATAAACGAAACAAATAAAAATAAATTGTTTTTAGAGCTAACAAAGAAGACCTTAATGACTTTGTTCATCACAGGAAATTATTTTTCTATCAATAAAACATGGAAATTAAGAATATTTCACTATATAAATGTATAACAAAATACGCTTAACATATTAAACACAAAACCATTCAAACTTTAGGATGAAAAGTGAAAGTTAAATATCAACCTTAAACCAAGTAAGCATTAGCAGTTTTATCATTTGTTTCAAGTAGACCATTTTACATTTGTGAACTTAGTGTTCCAGCCTTTGAGTGAACGTGAGGCTGAGGTTGACCTTGTTTTGATACAAACCTCTTTCCTTTTGTTATGGAAATTACGCTTAAAAAACCGTTAGCATAAGAACGACATGATTTACATAATAAAGCAGAAAGGGTTTTATCAAAACAAGGTCGTCAACGCCAGCTTCGTTTCGACCTGTAACTGTAAAATGGTGTATTTTGGGCTGTACTGTTTTTGACCCTGTACTGTGCTTTGTTTATAAATTATACGTTATAGAAACTTTTACGTGCTGGTCTACATGCACCTGTAACGAGCCATTAAGCTGACCTTATCGACTAACTTCATACTTGTAACTTACTTCAATCCACTTTCCATTCTCATCCTGTATGTATAACGCACACAGAGGATCTGATTTAGAAACTGTATCTTTATCAAGAAGCCCTCTGCAAGACACATGAAGCTCGACACGAGTCACACACTGCGCCATAACGACTTCGATCCCCTTAGATTCTCGTAATGTACGTTACACCACACGAGTCAGAGCAGTTGATCCTTGATCAGAAACGTTTGCTAAGATTAAAATGACCAGGAAACCATTTGCTTTCACTGTTGATGAGGAAAAAAAATAACAAACTTTCGTACGTCCGACCTTTCAACACCACCCCTTAATATTATCCTCGCCGCCGAGACTGGGCACAAGCTCAGCGAAATGCCTTCTGGGAAGTGTGACGGCAAAAATGGACCGAGTGGTAAACTGCGAGCAGTCTCTTGTTTTTCTTTGCAAAGTTACTGCACGCTAGCCTGCGCGCAGACCCGTTAAACCTTGTTTATAGCGTCCACTATATCCACACTATATGCGATACGTGGGCATCCAACATGGCGAGAACTTCGACAAAATCTCCATTTTTGTTCATGACTTTAACTTTTTGCACAGGGCAAAGTCCAGTAACAGGTTTCAACTTGCTTTTCTGGTGCACAGCATTCCCTTGGATATTACCATTCGACGTAGGTGTGGGCCCTTGGAACTGACTTTGGAACGGTGGTGCTTTGGGATTCAAACTTGTGTTAGTTTCTCCAGTCTTTTCGTTATGTAGGCACCGGTGATGGTTTTTTTCTGCATTTGTTGCACGTTGAGCCGTCTGGTTTCTTGCAATCGTTTGTGTGATCTGCTCTCAGACACTTGTGACATCGCCAATGTTGCTTTACAACCTCCCACCTTTGATTGACTGTTAGAATCTGAAACTTAGGACATGCAGCCGGGTGATGTTTGGTCTTACAGCCAAGAGGACATGTTTCATCGTCAGAATCCCCGCTGTTAGCGGCGTTATTTGCTGTCTTTTTGGGATCTTTGTCTCGGCGAATTTCGTTTCTTTCCACTGTGTTGCTGTTCCCTCGGGAACGAATACTCGCTTCTTGATGTAACCAGGTGATTAGATTGCTCACGGTTTCTTCTTTTCCTTCTCTTTTCATTTCTCTACCAAAATCTGAATTGTCACTTGGATCGAGTTTGGACAGAAGCTGGGACATGAGGAACGGCGCTTCAACTGACTCCAGCACAGGACACCCAATATTATCTTCCATGTCACTTACATAACAGGCTATTGTCATAGCGAAATGCATTAGGGACTTAGAATCTCGTTTGACTGCTTTAAGATTATTAATCTCGGTGTGCAGTTCGTCCATTAGTTTTTGTCTGTCTGCGAACTCTGTATCCAAAATGATCCACGCGCTGTCAATGGTTTTACAAGTTTTTACTTGGTCGGTCCAGAACGATCCTTTTGGCATTGCATTTCAAAAACGTTGCAATTGTTCATCTTTATCCTGACCGTATTTCTTCATCCAATGGCTGAACTCCTTTTCCACGTGGCATAGGTTCTGCAAGTTCCGTCCCATACTGGTACAGGTAATCGTTGTAAACTTGAGTTTGACAGTTTTGATCCGATGTTATCGGCCATTTTCTGCATCGCCGACGTCATGGACGACATTGATAATGTTAGCGCTTCCAGAGTTGTCGCATTGTTAGAATTTTCTGAGGAGTTTTGTTCCTTTTGATATGCAGCAAACTTTAAAGTGATTTGAAGGAAATCAGCTTTGGTTTTGTCTCCAGTTTTTTTTGTTGCTAACACAAGTTCGTCTTCTGGGCCAGTGCCTTCATCGACCAGTCTATCCAGAATTGTTTCCTGCTGTTTCTTGACCAGTCTGTACTTGGTTTCTACTAAACTGAATGCTGCTTCAAGTGTTTTTAGGTCCGGTTTTACGGAGAAAATTGTTTCGAATTCTTCCATTAATTCGTACAAGAGTTTGACGGCATTGTCCAGTTTTCCCGCGAGAGTTTTCACGTCTACCTTCGGCGGCATTGTGAGCGGAATTTAAATGCGAAGCTTGGTGGTAGTTAGTAACTCGGCGTAATCTTCTGCAACAAATTTTGACCGATTCGCTCCTGTGATTGAAGGGCTACTTTATGTTGAAGATTTTACCACTAACTGATTTTCGCGTACATGAACGTACATGGAATTTATTTGCACTTGTAGTAGTATAGTCAACTGAAAAATTAAATTAATATGACAAAGAAGGTTATTACACATGTCGATTTCGGTTGAAGCGACGGGAAAATATTATACTTACAATTTGTGTTCCATATGCGGTTAGTAAGCTTCGAAGTGCGATCTGTGGTGACACTTTTGAAATGTAAGTTGCATAACGAACTTCTAGGTTTTTAAAATAATTAGTCACCTGATCTATTTTTGCCGCGTTGCGCTAAGATAATTAAATATTCACAAAAAAATTGACAAACGGCTTGAAAAATGCAAATCAGATAGCTTAAGGACTTATTAGATGATTTTGATTAAAAAAAGGCAAGTAATCGTCTGCATTTGCCTGAAAACAAGGAAAGTTGTTCGTCACACAATTAAAATTTTGCGCTACAGCTAGAAACCGGAAATGATGTAGAAAGAAGATCCTGTCTCAAGGCAATACATCATGGCCTCCAGGTTTCCGACGGTCTGTTTTGAACAGTCAATAAAGGATTTTATGGCTGATATTTCAGGAAGAATCTTATAATGCCACACTGCTGCATTGCTATTGAATGTTTTAACACTCGCAAAGACAGAATTAGTCTATCACTGGCCCGATCATCCCCGATATGCGAGGTTTTGGATGAATGCTGTGAAAAACACTCGCTGAATCTACAAACTCAACTAGACCTTGCAACACTCATTTTACTGAAGACTACTTTGAAGCCGAAGGACGAAGCGATAGCTTAGTCCTTCGGCTTAAAGATGAACCCAATAATTATTATAAAAGCTGATGAAGTACCATTAATTTTTAAACTTGGGCTACCAGAAACTTAAAAACTAAGGTGTGAAACAGATACTGCCGCAGCTTCAGGATACTCAAGATAAAGACAAATCACCAAAAAATTATATTTGCTTATGCTTTAAATATGGCGAATAGATGTTAAAATTCTGTGTAGTCTACAGCGTGTCATCTGCAAGGCAAAATCCCTTAAACACAAAGTCATATTCATTGCCTGGGGGAGGGATGTGAGCCCCAATGCAGCAAACAGCACAAGAGGGATCGTGCAAGATGGCAGGACAATGGAACTTTTCACGGCTAAAATGCCTAGCACCACCTTGCCAGCTGCCTTTACTCTTTAAGCTACGTGCAATAATTTACTCCCTTGTTTGTTGCTGCTCTTTTAGAACAGTATTTTGGGTCGTCAGCTTTTAATTAAGCATAACCCTGGTAGTGTTTTACCAATTTATGTGTACTGGATGGTAATGATCAGTATAACCTTCATGACAAACTTCTCGTCATAAGCTGAAGAGTAGTGTCTCTCAGAAAAAGTCGAGATGACGATCACGTTTGTGAGTCATGCACATTGACTCCAGAGAATAATAGGATCTAGTTGCATATATAAAGTATAAAGAGTAAATTGCATATTCTCATTTTTTTTTTTTTCACTCTCTCTTAAACTCAATTGTGAGTACAGTTTCAACCCAGTCTACATTTCACCCCCAGTTTGCAGTCCCTGTTTTGCATTTTGCACCAAGCTTGCATTTTGGTCTTACACTAAATGATTTGTTGTCAAGGGGAAGTGACAAAAAGTACAGCACCTGCTTACATGAGTGCACTTCGATGTTACAGGTGTTTTTGACACGCAATCCCCCAGGTTTGTTACTGGAGTAATAAATTAAGTATCATGTACGTACTTGTAACTCCCTCAAACTCTTGTATAGCTCAAATACTTCTTCTTATTATATGGGTATATCTACCTAGCATCAGTCACATAATTGTTTTAGCATGCAATGATTTTTATAATAAACGAAACAAATAAAAATAAATTGTTTTTAGAGCTAACAAAGAAGACCTTAATGACTTTGTTCATCACAGGAAATTATTTTTCTATCAATAAAACATGGAAATTAAGAATATTTCACTATATAAATGTATAACAAAATACGCTTAACATATTAAACACAAAACCATTCAAACTTTAGGATGAAAAGTGAAAGTTAAATATCAACCTTAAACCAAGTAAGCATTAGCAGTTTTATCATTTGTTTCAAGTAGACCATTTTACATTTGTGAACTTAGTGTTCCAGCCTTTGAGTGAACGTGAGGCTGAGGTTGACCTTGTTTTGATACAAACCTCTTTCCTTTTGTTATGGAAATTACGCTTAAAAAACCGTTAGCATAAGAACGACATGATTTACATAATAAAGCAGAAAGGGTTTTATCAAAACAAGGTCGTCAACGCCAGCTTCGTTTCGACCTGTAACTGTAAAATGGTGTATTTTGGGCTGTACTGTTTTTGACCCTGTACTGTGCTTTGTTTATAAATTATACGTTATAGAAACTTTTACGTGCTGGTCTACATGCACCTGTAACGAGCCATTAAGCTGACCTTATCGACTAACTTCATACTTGTAACTTACTTCAATCCACTTTCCATTCTCATCCTGTATGTATAACGCACACAGAGGATCTGATTTAGAAACTGTATCTTTATCAAGAAGCCCTCTGCAAGACACATGAAGCTCGACACGAGTCACACACTGCGCCATAACGACTTCGATCCCCTTAGATTCTCGTAATGTACGTTACACCACACGAGTCAGAGCAGTTGATCCTTGATCAGAAACGTTTGCTAAGATTAAAATGACCAGGAAACCATTTGCTTTCACTGTTGATGAGGAAAAAAAATAACAAACTTTCGTACGTCCGACCTTTCAACACCACCCCTTAATATTATCCTCGCCGCCGAGACTGGGCACAAGCTCAGCGAAATGCCTTCTGGGAAGTGTGACGGCAAAAATGGACCGAGTGGTAAACTGCGAGCAGTCTCTTGTTTTTCTTTGCAAAGTTACTGCACGCTAGCCTGCGCGCAGACCCGTTAAACCTTGTTTATAGCGTCCACTATATCCACACTATATGCGATACGTGGGCCGGCTGCACCGCAGGCTACTGCACGCGAAACCTAAGCAGACGAATAACGTGGTGGTTTGCAATCGCGCTGGATGAGATAAGAACTAGACGGATTTTAAGACAAAAGGCGGACTGCAAGCAGTCTAGCGGAGTGTATAAAACCTGAGTATCAGGCGTTTCTGGGGGAAAGACTAGGGAAGCGGAAAGGGGAGCAAATCTTCTCTCCCTTAGCCTCTTAGGAAGGCCTGATACTCAGGCTATAGTCAGTGGTGGTTCCAGACCTTCAGAGATAAGGAGGGGTGCCCGGTCTCAAAAATAATTTATTTCGGATAATTTATTTTGGTCTAAAAATAAGGAGGGGCCCTCCCCTGGATCCGTCCCTGATAGTATATATCAAAGACAGAAAAAACTTGAAAGTAAACAAGTCAGAATGTCGAGGCAAACACCACACTAAGGCCTGTTTCAAACGCCGTGCTACTGCCATGCTAATTAAGCTGGCTCGACTGCAGCACGACAATAGCACGACTTGGTTTCAGACGTTGAATTTATTCAGTCAAATAGAACGGCTGTTGCCGAAAACAAAGAACAAAAATAAAGAAACGGTTTAGCAAACTTTTAAATGTATTCTAATGTATTTCTATAATTTATGAATTGAGTTTGGCACGGCAGTAGTGCGACGTTTGAAACCAAGTCGAGCTACTGCCGTGTAGCACGCCAGTAGCTGAAGCACGACTTGGTTTCAAACGTCTACTGCCGTGCTAAAGTCGAATTTCGATCAATTTAGTTCGGCACGGCAGTAACACGACGTTTGAAACGGGCCCAGGGTTAAGAATTGAGAGCTATGTAAGTCACATGGGAGAATTTGTGCTACCAGGGCCAATGAAATAAAACTTAAAATAAATCTGAGTGAGCCCATTGTTTTTGAGTTTTTAGAAAACAAATGGCTTCACTTGTACTGGTTTTATTAAGGGCGTGTTCGAAAGACCGTATTCCGGAATAAAAATAAATGGAAAACTCTAGAAATCAGTTGTTTTGGCTCTCATTGCATTGCAATACAGTAGAACCCCGGTAACCAGGTAACTCGAATTCTGAAGGTCAACGAAAAACAGTCGAGTTAGCGGGGGTTCGAGTTATCGAGAATATCCAATTTGCCATGTAAATAACTGATAGTTACTCAGATTTTTCAGCACTTCAGTTTATAGTACAGTACAAATTTTAACTTACATCATCAGAAACGGTAACATGATCATACATTTTTATTATAAAACAGGGGCACCCAACGAGGATATAGTTCAAAACCACATAAACATAGCATTGTTGAACGTAATTTAGTATTTAAACGATAGATAAAGGCTTATTTTTATCCCCTAAAAATTTTTCATCTGTTCGGATTTCCTAGCTGAAAGTATAGTGATCCAAAAATTATAGGGATCAAAATTTACCTTTTCGAAAATTTCAGCCAGAAAAAAGGCTCCCGAAAATTCTAGGTGACCTTTTTAGGGTAAAAATCTGTTAAAAATGGGCAATTATACCATTTTTTGGATGTTCCAAAATCCTAGGAGAGGCAGGCAAGCAAGAAATTTTACAGAAAATGATCCGAAAATTCTAGATCTCAAATCGTCTTCCGAACAGATAATTTTCCGAAAATTATCGTTGGGTGCCCCTGATAAAACAGGTGATAAAACGTGATCTGTTCGTTGCACCATGCCAATTATAATCAAACTGATGTGGTGTTATTTTTAGTGTTTTCACCACTTATACAACAAGAAGAGCTAATGCGAGGCATCTGAATGGAGCTACCAGAACCATAATTCGAGTTATCGAAGTACATTTTAATGAAATTCTGATGAAGGGGAAGGAAATTTAGTTCGGATTCACTTATATCTAGGACTGAACTTTGTCGCAAAAAACAAATGCTAATTTTTTTAGC